CCAGTGGTGTAGGTTGTATTACAGAAAATTGAATATTATGAAATGACAGAAATAACAAAATGTTACATACTTTTATTTCTCTTGCACTTAGTTATTTACTACCTAGAGGGATGCTATGGAGTCTTTGCAAGGTAAACAGTCTATTACCATCTGGATAAAGCAAATCAAATGACAAATATGGAGAGAGTGGTTGCTCACATGAGCCATGCCCATATTTTGGTCCATCTGGTTAATCAGCCCAACTTCACATAAATGCATATTTTACATTTTTCTATTCTCCTTCAAAATTTGATGGCCAATTCATTCAGCAGTGAAAGGTATAAAAGCATAATAAATATGATTTAATATGCTTTATCTACAGCTGTTGTAAAATGGCATCTTCATGATGTTTAATTATAAATTGTCTGGTAAGTCTCAAATGAAGCAGTCAAGGCCAAGTCCTACTCTGTTTCAGTCCTGTGTATGTATCATGACTTGCAATGGGTAGGTTGGCTGTACTCAGTTTAGGTCTAGCCACAAAGTTTAGACAGTTGCGTAATATTTCATCACAAAAAATTCAAGCCCTGTCATCATAGGGTTATGGGTTAATGCTCCAATAAGAGCAATGGCATTCTAGTTAGCCTAAACTTTTATATCTTTTTCTTTCTCACATATTTATTGAAAAACAATAATCAGCTTATTCAAAATCTAGAAAAGGGGAGAAAACATTATTTCTAATTCTTATCTTCTATGACCTTGATAAATACTCGCACATCAGCAAGTTTGCTGTTATTATATCTTGGCATCATTGACAGCCATGGTGATAAAATTTTGGTGTTCATCCCAGCACCAACTAGTTCCAATCATTTCCTGTTAACCCAACAATGATAGGCATCTCACTAATGACCTCCAGAAAAAGGACAGTAGCCGGCATCCTTAGCAGTGACCTCTCGTGACTATTCCACTCTAAGATACCCATCATTGAGAGGTTAAAATAAGTAAAGACGATGAAATATCTACATTGATAATAACTGAGTAACTGACTCGCCTTTGTTGTAATAAGTGACAGCTTGCAGTAGCCATGAGTGTGAGCTGACAATGACCTTCCATTGTCAATATGACCACGGGCAAATTCTTAAACAAGATTTACTTCTTTTTTAAACAAAAAAATCAATGTTTGGCATAAGGCTGTTCATCAATTTCAATGCTTGCCTCACAGTTATTTTATGCACAATGTCCATCAATGCTTCTTGCATTACTTTTCGTCACTAAGTATATATGGTGCCAATGATATTGGATATAGTTGTCCTAAGAAAGTATAATTCTGCTTTACAGCCGCTTACTCATGTATTATGCATGGATTGGCTGATTAGGAAATAAATCTAATCGAGACTATTTATCACACTTGAAGTGACAACAGGGGTTAAGGGGGCCGTCGCGCTCGAGAAGGAAGTTCATCAGTTATGATTAGATATTTGTGATTTTTTAACATGTTATACATACATATAAAGTTTCATTTCATTTGGATAATAAATCATAAAGTTATTTATGAAAACAAGTTTTTGAACAATCACAAACTCTCTAAAATCGCACTTATTCATTGAAAGAACTTGTTGAAAAAATTACCACCCATAGTCTATGGCAATACCTAAAACTTGCAAAGACCGGAGTTTTAAATTTCGTTTTAATTTTGTGGGAATTTATTTTTTTCTAAATGTTCAGTCTTATGAACATCACAATATAATATAAGGGCTACTAATACCTAAAATGAAATTTTCACTAAGAAAACCATCGCAAATATATTCAGCTTTTAAATGATTCAAACCCCATAAGAATTGCCCAAGTATTTATGGATGAATTAAAATGCTGACAAATGTTTCCAAAAGTTTTTTTTTTTTTTTTTTTTTTTTTTGGCAATCTTGCTGCATTCTATGGCATTCACATGGTATTCTGAAGTGTAGCTGGTACACTGTCCCCTCCTTTGCAAAGTACTAATGGTAATAACTGCACATGATTGTGGAAGTACCGCATGTCACCACAGGCTTTGCAGTACCTAACCAGACTACGCGAGATATCTAAATGTATAAACAACTGCTGCAGCTGTGATTAAGAAGTATTTCTGATCATATTACGTTTATTAAATACTAAAATAACATCTACAATTAGTAGTGTCCCCTTACTGTGTTACATGGGCCTATGTTTGTCAAATATGGTGTCGTGGAGGTTAGAGCTGGCAACCTTTCTCTCTGATTTTCTGGTGGAATTTTGTTTCCTAGAGCCCCTGCACACACACACACACACACACACCACACACACACACACACACACACACATATATATATATATATATATATATATATATATATATATAATATATATATATATATATATATATATATAATAATATATATATATATATTATATATATATATGTATATATATATATATATATATATATATATATATATATATATATATATATATATATATATATATATATATATATATATATATATATATA